AAAAGGGGAAAAGCAAAGCCACCAGGCCCAGGACTCAAACCGCTGTTGGTCGTGTGGGAATCCAGTGACTTTAGCCACTATGCCGCCTGCGGGCCTTATTTATTTATTATTTAATTTCACCAGAGAGGGACAGAATGAGAGAAAGTGAGAAATTAAGTCACCAGGTCCAGGACTCGAATTACAGTTGACCATGTGGGAGTCCAGCACCCTTAACCACAACGCCACTTAATGGCCCCTATCTATTTGTATTATTTTTTTAGAATTATTTTTTATTTAACTTTATATATTTATAATTATCATTATTTTCCAGTTTGATCAGAGAGAGACAGAGAAAGAGAGAGAAGGAAAGTGAGAAAGCAAACCAGCAGGTCCAGGACGTGAACTGTGGTCAGCCATGTGGGAGTCCAGTGCCTTTAACTGCCACGCCACCTGCTGGTCCCTCTATTTGTGTTATTGATGGAATACCACCAGCACTTAATAAACTCAGGAACCAGCCTCCCTCCCCTCCCGTGGGGCTTGGGCAGGGCTGAGTACACTGGATCAGTGTGGCTAGATTCTGCACTGTAGTCTTCCCTTCCATAAATCTGGGATTCCTACTTTTTGTTGTTTTTTAAATTATTTTTACATTTAGCTTTATTTATTTATTTCCATTTGAGCAAGAGTGAAAGTGAGAGAGAGGGAAAATGAGAAGGCAAGCCGCCAGGTCCGGGACTTGAACCACGGACAGCCATGTGGGAGTCTAGCATCCTTAACCACCACACCATCTGCCAGCCCCTGTGGTTATTAGAAGGGGAAACTGAGAGATCACCCCATGCGGGGATAGCCACAGGACAATCCGTTCTCCTTCATTCTGCTCTGGGGATTCGTACTCTTGAAATGCTTACTGAGTACTTACTGTGCTCTTGGTCTTGTTCTAAAGGACAAAGCAACGAACAAACTAGAACCAGAGCCTGTGCCCGGCACCTGGTAGATTTATTCATCCCTCCTTCAACCGTAAGCTATGATGTCATGAGAAGATGGGACAATCTGTCAGTTTACGCAGGAGGAAAGGCTGGCTCAGATAGGCTGGCCTGCAGAACGAAAAGCGTCTGGGACCAGGGAGAAAATAAAAGAAAACAAAAACATAACGGATGTGTGTGGGGTGACGGCAGGTGGCATGGTGGTCAAGGTGCTGGACTCCCACGTGGTGAACTGTGGTTGGAGTCCTGGACCCGGAAGCTTGCTTTCTCACTTTCCTCTGTCTCTCATTGGTGAAATAAAATGATAGGACCTAGCAGATGGCGTAATGACCACATCGCTGGACTTCCACGTAGGCGATTGTGGTTCGAGTCCCAGGCCTGATGGCTTAAAACTCATGCCAGATGCGTGTGTACATATGCCCAGGATTCCGAGAGGAGGATGGAGAAGGGATTACTGCATGCCCATCCCTCCTGGGGAGTGATTTCTCGCTTTCTGTCTCTCTGTCTCAAGGTACTGGACTCCCACATGGCCGCTGTGAATTTTAAGTCACCGTGCCTGGGACTCGAACCATGGTTATCCATGCGGGAATGTCCAGCATCTTAACCACCATGCCACCCACTGGTCCCTATAAATAAAATTTAAAAAATAAATTTTTAGGGGGCTAGCATGTGACGATTGTTAAGGGCACTGGACTCTCACATGGCCCACTGTGGTTTGAATCCTGGACCTGGTGGCTTGCTTTCTCACTTTCTCTCTCTCGCTCTCTCTCTCTCTCTCACTCTGTTCTTCTCTGGTCAACTTTAAAAAATAAGTAAAGTTAAAAGAATTCTTCTTTAAACATAGTATTATTTATTTATTAATTTATTCATTCACTCATTCAATTTAGTGTGACCACAGAGAGACACACACACATACACACACAAAGAAAGAGGGACAAGGAAAGTGAGAAATCAAGCTGCCAGGTCTGGGACTCGAACCATCGTCAGCCATGTGGGAGTGTCCAGCATCTTAACCACTATGCCACCTGCTGGTCCCAAATAAAAGAATTATTTACAGAGAAATTTAAAAATAAATCTTTAAAAACAAAGGGTCAGGAATGGAACTCTGCCCAGAATCGTCCTGATGCTGGGCGTCAGCGCGCAGCAGGTGAGCGCGATCCGGAAGCTCCGCGGGAACCCGCACGCCCAGGCCCGTTGCCATGGTCCCCTGACGCTCTCCCCGAGTTCCCGCAGACCACGCGTCACGTGACTCCAGCCAACATGGCGCCGCCCACTGACATCCACGGCCCACGTGGTTCCGGCAGCCAAGATGGCGGCGGGGAACAGCCCCCCCTCCCTGGGTTTCCGCCC